GCCAAGATCACATTGCCCCTATTGAAACATCCATCATCATCACTTCATGAAATACTCACATCACATCGTCAGCCATCCCTTGGATTACCAATTTGTAAAGGCTCATACAACTCCAATCAGATAACTAGATCAGATAGCTCTTGCATTACCTGAGGGCAGCATGCCCACAGTGACCAAGCAGTTACCATGGGCAAGCCCCTCTCCAGGGCTACATATTGACACTGAATGAGACCCCCTCTTCTCCAGGGCTACATATTGACACTGAATAAGAACCCCTTTTCTCCAGGGCTACATATTGACACTGAATAAGAACCCCTCTTCTCCAGGGCTACATATTGACACTGAATAAGAACCCCTCTTCTCCAGGGCTACATATTGACACTGAATAAGAACCCCTCTTCTCCAGGGCTACATATTGACACTGAATAAGACCTCCCCTTCTCCAGGGCTACATATTGACACTGAATAAGAACCCCTCTTCTCCAGGGCTACATATTGACACTGAATAAGACCTCCCCTTCTCCAGGGCTACATATTGACACTGTATAAGACCCCCTCTTCTCCAGGGCTACATATTGACACTGTATAAGACCCCCCTCTTCTCCAGGGCTACATATTGACACTGAATAAGACCCCCTCTTCTCCAGGGCTACACATTGACACTGAATAAGACCCCCCTCTTCTCCAGGGCTACATATTGACACTGTATAAGACCCTCCTCTTCTCCAGGGCTACACATTGACACTGAATAAGACCCCCCTCTTCTCCAGGGCTACATATTGACACTGTATAAGACCCCCCTCTTCTCCACGGCTACTATTGACACTGAATAACACCCCCTTCTCTTCTCCAGGGCTACATATTGATACTGAATAAGACCCCCTCTTCTCCAGACCTACATAGTGACCATTATAAAAAGAGAATTATAACAGTCTTTAAAGATAATAGTGAGTGAGTGAGTAAGTATGGTTTTACGCCGCTTTTAGCAATATTCCAGCAATATCACGGTGGGGGACACCAGAAATGGGCTTCACACATTGTACCCATGTCGGGAATCGAACCCGGGTCTTCGGCGTGGCGAGCAAACGCTTTAACCACTAGGCTACCCGACCACCCCCTTTTAAAGATAATGATCATAACAACAACAATAATAATAATAACAACCATCATCATCATCATCATCAGCAGCAGCAGCAGCATCGACCTAAGAGAAAGCATTTACTTCTTTATCTGGAGGATGCCCAGGGTGTTTGAAGACAGTTATCATTAGCACCACTGACAAGGTGTATCTCCTCCCCACAGGCTGATGAACACCTACAGGTTTATTGCATGTACGGCCAACACAGTGATGCAGATAGACAGGAAATGTACAACATTCTTCAAATAAAACATCCCCCTAACAACATTCCTGTAACAACATTCTTGAACAACTGTCTTGCAGAACAGCCTTGTTCAAATAATTCACAATGCACAGAGCATGCACGGTTGAAAGTGTCAGTACTGCCACTGCCAAATTGAAGAACCTGCATCATGGCACACTGAGATATCTAATATACGCACATGATAAAGTAGAGGCCACAGCAGACATAACTTCAGAAACAGCTGCCGTTCAAAACATTTATGAAGTGACAGACGACAGATAACTTTATCTTTACGAACTCACAAAAACTATTGATTCAGCTAGGTCAGTTAAAACTGATCACAAAATGGATGATAGTCCTGCACCATGACCGTGGAATATATTTATTTTATGAACAAAAATAAATCTAGGAACGCATACAAAAATAAGTCTAGCCAGCTCTAGCTAGCTCTATTCCACAACCAGCATAGGGAATTTTATTTTATTTTTAGAGTCAAGAAGGATATTGTGTAATATAAGATTTCAGAGACTAAATGTTAGTCTAAATGGATGACAGAGTGAGTGAATGTGTTTTTTCACTGCTGTTATTCCAGCCATAACAACCATAAGAATGTGTTTTACACATGACCCATTACAACAGGAACTTATTTGGACATAAATTGAAGTAAGCTACATCGTCACAAACACAGATGCAGATATTTGGGAAAAAAGGAGTGCTTTTTGTGATTAGGTATCTTCCCCCCGTTCCTTCCTTGGATCCATGCATGTTGTCAGTTTCATTAAAACCGTTTCAGAAGAACATCTTAGACATCGTGTATGACCCGATTGGTTAATACGCAATGGCGCTCACAACACTTAACCAACTCTCGGAATTCTCCAACATGCCCGAATATAATAGGAAATGTCTCAAAAAGAATCAAATCTGCAATTTTCAATTATGAAAACTTTTTTATGCCAATACTATGTTAGATACTTTCAGAAAGACAATAAAAACTCCCAACATAAAGCGAAATGGGAAAGTCATTGTGTGCTATATGACATGCTGTATGTGCTGGATAATTAAGGCAACTATTTATTTTGGATGTGTTTGAATCAGTCCCTCAAATAAAATCCAAATCCAATTTCAGAAAGCTAAACATTTGGAACAGAATTCTGACAAAACCTTTGATGCATGCTGCCTTGTACAATGTCTGTTGAGATGTGAGGTTTGATATCAGCAGGGATCGAAAAAAATTCCACGACCGTGATTGATATATCCATTAATTATTCATTGTATTGGGAAAAGTCGTACCTAATCCTAAGCTTCCATCAAAGATGCAGACGTTTTGCATACATCAATGTACAATTCAGGCAAGAAAAGGGATTAAGATAAAAAGTGGCTTTGAAAGATTGAAGCAATGGCCATATATAAGCCGCCACGACCTTCTGGAGAATTAAGGCCCTGTTGTGTAGCTGTGACCTTTACGACGAATGATGGTCCAATTGCTAGCATGTCCTCATTAGTGAGTGAATGTTGTTTTAATGCAGCCTTAAGTAATATTCCAGTATTATCACAGGGACCTGTAATTTATCATCCCAAACTGTCTTCCACAGGAGATATTGCTTTGCTGAGATCAAGGGATATTGGGAACCAATTCATCCCTGGAATTTCAAATAGGGCTTTAATGAGAAACAATTGCCATATTGGTAGCCAAGTTATCTAATTGCAGTCATCCCTTCATTGTCTATTTGGTTTCGTTAAACAGCAGCTTGTCATTTCTGAATTATATTTACGAAATGTACCTTCTTTTCTAATTTGTATTTGGTGAACAAAAATGAAAATAGAGTTTTTTCATTTTTAATTATTGTTATCAATGTTTCAGAACCTAAGAATTTTCTCTTCAACATTTTTTTTCGAGCATAATTACCACAGAAATGGTGACCCAGCATATCTGAAGCCATTGTTTCATTTCAAGCTCTGTACATTGATCCTTCTTGGAGACAGAACCTAACATATGCACATCTAAAATAAGATTGATCAATCTCATTTGAAGATTCCTAATTAACCAAGGTTTTCACCCCACACAAAATGGCCACCTGCATATGCCATGGATATTCTCATGGCAATAACACCACAGCACATATCACTGACACATTTGTCCCAGGACCTGTCAACAAAACTGTTGCCACATTCTGCACAAACTCTCCTCTGGGATTGTGTGGCCTGCTGTGACAATCTACCAGTCTAGCACCATGCGACATACTCTCGGAACTCTTTAGTCAGGGAGACAGAAATTCAACATGTTCTCGGAACTCTTCAGTCAGGGAGATAGAAATTCAACATGTTCTCGGAGGTCTTCAGTCAGTGAGATAGAAATTTCAACGACACACATCAGGAAGAGACAGGTCTTTTAGAAGCATGGTCAATCGTATGATTAATTCGATCTGTAATGAAATTATCACATGGTCCTTGGGGGGTTGAATGCCAGAAGCGAACATGTCGACCATTGCTGAAACTATTCTTCCAAGTTTGTCAAATCCTACGGGAACTTGCGCACAACATTTAATAAAGTGTAACGTATACATATGTGACAGTGAGCAGGAAATTAGAGCTGAGAGAACAAAAAGGTATTTGTGGTTCATTTGTTGTGTTGAGCCTCATAGGGCCATAGGTCTTCTAACAGATCTAAGAGACAGTTCAACAAGGCATGAAAGAACCAGCCTTCCAGTTCATTTGTAGCAGTACCAGTAGTAGAGGTACTTTGCAGTACCACAAGGCAGTATGATTAAATTACAATACACACAGGGACACACTTACTCAAAATTACTTGGTACCAAATTGTCCTTTGTGAAGACGTGTCAGAAAGGACTAGTTCCAAACAGTGAAGAGGGGGTGATAGTTAAGTCTGACATCAGGAAGCTCGTGTGCAGTCAAATATCATTCTCAGCTCCCTGGCCAGTAAGGGCGGATCCAGCATTTTTAAAAGGGAGGGGTCCAAAATCCTCAACATATTGGGGGGGGGCGGGGGGGGGAAGACCCGCTGGACTCTACCTCTGGATATCAAAATGTAAAAGTGCAATAATCTCCAACACGATGTTAAACCCTATATCAGTGACAGACTACAGGTTGATCTCAGCAGCCCTGGCTCACATGGACATGATCAGAATTCAGGGTTGAAACTAATGAGTGAGTGAGCTGGGTTTAACGCCGCTTTTAACAGTATTCCAGTTATATCGTGGCGTTTCAGCTTAATGTTGGAGGACAGCCCGAAGTGATTCAGGTCTCAGATGTTTACCACTTTGGTGAAACCCACGAGCACGGGTATGGTGATGACAAATCTAGAAACATAATCGAGGCGAACCGGGATTCGAACCCACGATCATAGGTGTCTGGCGTGCTCAAGGGACGCAACTCTGCACAGCGCATCACGGTGCCTTAAACTGGGCCACCTGTGCCCCCTGGAAACTAATGGGACAAGACTGCACCAAACACCATTCATTCACAGATGCAAAACTGGTGCAGTCATCCCAACAACTGCGGAGATGTAAGGTAACTGAAATGAATGGAGTTTCAAAGGAAACAGCCCGGACACCCTTTCCAATGTTTCAAGGCAAGAGATCATTTTGTATATTGAATACTTGATACAAGAAAGTAACTTACCTGACAAAGAAATTATTCACAGTCGATGATACAGCCACTGGACACCTGCAGAAAAAGGAAACAAACTTTATCATACATGCATAAGTCTTTGATAGGCATTTGGAGGTCGGAAGGACCCGAAGACAGCAAACCTTTACAGATAACAACTTCTATAATGGTTGTAATGATGTCTCAGGTCTACTTCCTGCCCGGTCATCAGATGAATGCTGAGAGAGGGATGAGAATGGGATGCTGGAACTGAGAAGGGTGTGAACGGGATGCTAGAACTGAGAAAGGGTGGTAATGGGATGCTAGAACTGAGAAGGGGTGGTAATGGGATGCTAGAACTGAGAAGGGGTGGTAATGGGATGCTAGAACTGAGAAGGGGTGTGAATGGGATGCTAGAACTGAGAAGGGTGGTAATGGGATGCTAGAACTGAGAAGGGGTGTGAATGGGATGCTAGAACTGAGAAGGGTGGTAATGGGATGCTAGAACTGAGAAGGGGTGTGAATGGGATGCTAGTACTGAAAAGGGGTGTGAATGGGATGCTAGAACTGAGAAAGGGTGGTAATGGGATGCTAGAACTGAGAAAGGGGTGTGAATGGGATGCTGGAACTGAGAAGGGGTGGGAATGGGATGCTTGAACTGAGAAGGGGTGGTAATGGGATGCTGGAACTGAGAAGGGGTGTGAATGGGATGCTAGAACTGAGAAGGGGTGTGAATGGGATGCTAGAACTGAGAAGGAGTGGGAATTGGATGCTGGAACTGAGAAGGGGTGTGAATGGGATGCTGGAACTGAGAAGGGGTGGGAATGGGATGCTAGAACTGAGAAGGGGTGGGAATGGGATGCTGGAACTGAGAAGGGGTGTGAATGGGATGCTTGAACTGAGGAGGGGTGTGAATGGGATGCTAGAACTGAGAAGGGGTGTGAATGGGATGCTAGAACTGAGAAGGGGTGTGAATGGGATGCTAGAACTGAGAAGGGGTGGGAATGGGATGCTGGAACTGAGAAGGGGTGTGAATGGGATGCTGGAACTGAGAAGGGGTGGGAATGGGATGCTAGAACTGAGAAGGGGTGGGAATGGGATGCTAGAACTGAGAAGGGGTGGGAATGGGATGCTGGAACTGAGAAGGGGTGTGAATGGGATGCTAGAACTGAGAAGGGGTGGTAATGGGACGCTGGAACAGAGAAGGGGTGTGAATGGGATGCTAGAACTGAGAAGGGGTGGTAATGGGATGCTGGAACTGAGAAGGGGTGGGAATGGGATGCTAGAACTGAGAAGGGGTGTGAATGGGATGCTGGAACTGAGAATGTAAATGGTCTGTAAAAACGATGACACAGCAACTTGCTGCATCATGGAAGACAATCTCACATTCACGGAACAATCTCATATTCACAGAACAATCTCATATTCTCCTACAAACCCTTTCGTTTCACACAAGGTAGAAAGCCTGTTATAACATGACCCTGAGGTGCGTACATGCTGAGAACCTATTATATTATCGGGTTGCGTTTTATTGGAAACCCCACGCATACTTAGTGTTTTCGCAATAAATCCCTCTTCAAGGACAAAAGACGAAACTGTGTGTTCTATTTCCTGCTCTATCATTGTATGATTAGTCCTCCTGATATGACAGCGTATCAGCATTAAGCCTCTGATGTGGCAATTATCATCTCATAGCCCCAACATTCAAATCCCTGGAGAGTTTTACCTCTACAATCCACAATACCTCTCCACAGCTGCCTAAACAAAACATTCCTTGCAACAGAAAATCAGTGCAAATAATAGAAAATTGCTAAATTCCGATTTAGAATGGAGTTAGGTATCAGTGGAACTTTCTTGGAACAGATGCACAATGTTGAAAGAAAAGCTGTTTTTTAAACCTAAAGGCATCAAACAGATTGTTAGTCTGAAATTGAAACTTAAAATGAATTGTAAAAAAAATATCTTGTCCATTCTTAATTGGAAAGCCTATTTCATGTTTTTTAATACATATTTGATCTAGTGTGCCTACTGGAATATGTATAAAACATATTGTGACAAAGACAGCATATAAATATGGTGACGGGCCAATTGAGTGAGTGAGTGAGTGAGTTGGGTTTAATGCTGCTTTAAACATTATTCCAGTTATATCGCAGCGTGTCAGCTTAATGTGGGAGGAAAGCCCAAAGTGATGCAGGTCTCAGACGTTTACCACTTCGGTGAAACCCACAAGCACGGGTATGGTGATGACAAACCTAGAAACATAATCCGGGCGAACCGGAATTCGAACCCACAATCAAAGTTTTCAGGCATGCCCAAGGGACACAACTCTGCACAGCAGATCGCTGAGCCTTAGACGCCCGGGCTGATTGACACAAGATGTCACCCCAGAAGGTTATCAGCAGGAAACCTGATTATATGAGTATTTGTAACATAGTGTGTTTAATCTGAAATCACGATCACAAGAAGCTGACAATTAGTTTTTGAAGACGTCTTCCATCATCTTGGGTTAGCAAGTTTGAGGACAGTATTTCAGTTGGGCCATATAAAGGAAAGTGTTATCAATACAATAATCCGATTTGATACAGTTTGAATCAAGATCAGATGAATATGCAAATGAGACCACAGAGGAACTATCTTTAAGCTCCATGATTCAATGCAATGTCTGTTTGATAAAAAAAAATTATTGACTGAAGTTCCCAATAAGTTTGGAGATTGCAGAAACACCACACATCAGAAAACCAGACAAGGTTAGGTGAGGTGAAATGGGGTTTAACGTTGTGTCCAAGATTATTGCACTTCTATAGCAACATGCATGTACGTGAGTGGGTTTGTGTGGCTGCTTGTACTAGTCCGGAGACTGATGCCGATTTATAGTGCTAGCTCACTGAGACACCCTGCCGCAGTTTAACATGAATATCCCACTCAGACACAGTATACTGACTCCGAGCCAACCAGTCCTTGTTTTAGCCCCTTAAAACTGAACACCAGACAGGGTAACAACATGTATCATCTTTTAACGTCTTTTGGTATGACGCGGCCGGGGATTGAACCCCGGATCTTCTGCTCACCAGGTGGACACTCTACCACTAGACCATGGAGGCAGTCCTCTGCAGACAAACATCTCTGTAAATGATTTAGCACTCTACGATGAATGGGTCATTTCACTCAAACACTGTATTTGTATGTGTTGTCTACAGTCAAGTGACATAAATAAAACTTAAATATTGATTATTTTCATAATTATATTATATGATAAAGAAGTTTTTACCCTTGTGTTTTTGTATTTTAATATCATGGACCAATCAGATTCCACCTCTCGTATCACTTGTGTTTGCTTCACACAAAATGGTGGCGCCCAGGTCAGGACGATCGGATCGATATTCAAGATATATATTGTGATAAAACGGGTCTTACATCGCGAAATGTATCAAATCACGTGAGCACCTTGATTAAAAACATGAAAACATTTGGAAAATATCTGCTGACAACGAGTTGGCAGTGCACATGCTTTGCAAATCCTGCAATCGATCAAAATCTGCTCGACAGTTTACGAACCAGATTTCGATTTTGGTGCACGATTTTGATTGGACTATGCATAGACTTGTTAGTCCAGCTAAAATGTAACTCCATAATACCAGCCTAGTTCGGCAAGGGTGGAAACTGGACTTTTCATAGTCAGTTAACTCTCTTGTCTCGGGAAGATGGGACCCACAGACTTTAGAAGCTGTAGACACTTTAATTTGCTGCAGGCCATAAGGACCTATACAACTACGGGCACGTGCTTATTTCGTACACTGCTGCCATTTCAGATCTTTCAATATATGCCACACTTCCTTCATATAAAACAAGGGGGCGGTCGGGTAGCCTAGTGGTTAAAGCGTTCACTCGTCACGCCGAAGACCCGGGTTCGAATCCCAACATGGGTACAATGTGTGAAGCCCATTTCGGGTGTCCCCCGCCATGATATTGCTGGAATATTGCTAAAAGCTGATGATATCCACCAACAATATATCATGTCTGGTTGTGTGCAAGGCAAGAAATATTTACGGTTTCCAAGATCTGCTCCAGAAAGGAGCACTACCGCCATTTTCAGTCTAAGTCAAAGTCGGTGGAAACTCAAAAAATGAATTTTAAAAAAATACCAAACTATCATAAGGCACCAGTTCCCCACTTGACCTATCTATGTGCCAGGTTTGGTTAAGATATCTCTCATGATTTTAGAGTTCTGCTTCGGAAATGAAACATAACGGACAGGTGGACGGAGGGCTGGAAGGGCGGACGGACAGCACCCATTCCTATATCTGCCTTCCACTTCCTGGCGGGGGATAATTACACACTGATAAATGTGAGAATTGACAGTAAGGAGCAAATAGGAAACCCAAACCAACACAGCACACAACACAAGCAAGCAACAGACAATCCCGAGATCTCTTTACTCAAAGAGTAGTGTATATTGTGGCGTAATTCAGACAAATGGGGTTACTTTGTGGTCATCCCTGATCCGTAGGATTTCCCATATGCAGACAACATAAGCCGATTGTGTGGACCCAGCTACTGAAGATGGTATTAGACTTCTCCACACCTACCCAGTAGTTTCAACATCACAGGACCAAGCAATAATGTGACAAATACTGATGAAGTAACAAACCTAAGAACAATTCTAAGCTTCTTAGGCAAATGAAGAAGTTGACTAAGTATAATAAAGTTGACTTTTTCGGAGGATACATGCTGATGTCGAGACGGGACGACTGAGCTGATTTAGATGGATGTTTGCAGGTTCAAAATTACCCAATTTGGATTCGGGAAATGTTTGGAATGGATGAGGTAAGCTCCTTTTCAGCCCAACTGGAATAGTGAAATTTTGAAGTTACAGAAAACTTTGAAATGTAGAGACGAAAAACATGTGGCTGACAACTAGTCTTTTTCTTTCTTACACTTGTTTGTTTTGGACCTTGGGGCGATCAAGTGCACAAGTATGGTTACAATTGATAAAACAGATGATTTTCAAACTTCAAGAGAAAATTTAGCTATGACCACAACCTTGACCAATGATGATTTTTATACCATATGTGTAGTGA